GAAGCACTAGGCCATTGCCATCATCATTGCCACTGCCATTATCTGGCCATTGCCTTGCTAAGCTATGGTGTGGCTATGTGCTCTTTGCGCTATGACCAGGTCATGTTTTCTTTCTTTCTTTTTTTTTTTTTTTGAGTTGGGAGTCTCACTCTGTCGCCCGGACTGGAGTGCAGTGGCCGCTTCCGGTCACCGCAGCCTCGACCTGCTGGGCTCTGGTGATCCTTCCGTCTCAGCCTTCCGAGTAGCCGGAATTACAGGCACGCGCTACCATGCCCGGCTGATTTTTGATTTATTGTAGAGATGAGGTCTCGCCAAGTTGCCCAGGCAGGTCTTGAACCCGCGGGCTCAGGCAATCCACTCACCTCAGCCTCCCAAAGCGCGGGATTACAGGTTGAGCCACTGAGCCCAGCAAGGTCATGTTTTCTTAAGCTTTGGCCCCCTCCTTTCCCTTGGAGAGGCGAATCCCCTCTTTCTCCAATTTGCTTTCTAAATAAACTATATTTTCTAATCTTAAAAAACAAAAACAAAAGAAAGAAAACAGAAGCACTGGGGACAAAGGAAAAGTATCTAATTTAGCCGCTCGCAAAATTTAAAACTTTGGTGCTTTAAAAGACACCATCAGCTGGGTGCAGCACTTTGGGAGACAGCAGTGAGAGGATTACCTGAGCCCAGGGGTTTGAGACCAGTCTTGGCAATTTGGCAAGACCTCATCTTTACAATAAATTAAAAAATTAGCAAGGCGTGGTGGTGCACGCCTGTGCTTCCAGCTACTTGGAAGGCTGAGCCAGAAGGATCACCTGAGCTCAGCAGGTCCAGGCTGAGGTGGCTATGAGCATACCACTGCACTCCAGCCCGGACAACAGAGTACCCTAATCAAAAAAAGAAAAAGAAAAAAGGTGCCATCAAGGCCAGGCATGGTAGCTAACACTTGTGATCCCAGCACCTTGGGAGGGCAAAGTTGGAAAATCTACTTAAGTCCAGAACAGGAGTTCGAGATCAGCCTGGGCGACATAGTGAGATCCTGTCCCTATGCAGGAATAAAAAAGTTTGTTGGGCCCAGTGGCACGTGCCTGTAGTCCCAGCTACTTTGGAGGCTGAGAGAGGGTCACTTGAGTCCAGAAGTTTGCTGATGCGATGAGTTATGATCATGAGAGAGAGGGAGACACCCTGTCTCAAAAAAAAGAGGGTAGGTTATATTGTGAAGACACTGAAGAGTATATGGCCACGCCACCCTGAACACACCCAGTCTCTTCTGATCTTGGTAACTAAGCAGGGTCTGGCCTGGTTAGTTCTTAGACAGGATAGAGCCTGGGAATTTCTGGTGTTGCAAACTTTTAAAAAAACATTTTTATAGAGATGGGTTCTGGCTATGTTGACCAGGCTTGTCTCGAACTGCTGACTTCAAGTGATCCTCTTACCTCAGCCTCCCAAAGTCCTACAGGCATGAGCCACCATGTCCGACCTTCTGTAGGCTTAAAAATAGACTGGGCTCAGCTCAGCCTGTAATCCTAGCACTTTGGGAGGCTGAAGTGAGTGCATTGCCTGAGCCCGTTGGTTCAAGATCAGCCTGGGCAACTTGGTGAGACTTCATCTCAACAATAAATAAAAAATTAGCCAGGTATAGTAGTACATGCCTATAGTTCCAGCTGCTTGGAAGACTGAGGTGGAAGGATCACCGGAGCCCAGCAGGTGGAGGTTGTGGTGGCCATGAGTGTGCCACTGCACTCCTGTCTGTGCGACAGAGTAAGACTCCTAACTCAAATAATAATAATAATAATAATAAAGAACTTGAAAAGGAAATTCACCAAATGGAAAAACACTTCTGCAAATTTCATGTCTGGTGGGAGGAGTATCCAGATGAGCTGAAATCTCAGACCCTGCTATCACACAGGGTGGGGGCTGGATTGGTAGCCAGGATTTCCAGACATCTTGTCCTGTTGCTGCAGGGGGTGAGTTATGCCCGAGAGCCCTTTCTGGGCGGGTGTGTACTAGCATTACTACATCCTACCTAGACTATGGGATGACAGCAGAGTGGTCATCAGGAGAGAAATCTGACCTAGTGTTTGGGTTGTGGGTGGGAGGTACTCTCAGGATACCCTCCCCTCCCAGGGAATCATCCTGAGTGAGCCCAACAGGATGACCGGTGTGGTCCCCAGCTCCTTCCTTCTTGTTAGTTATGCTAATATTAAGGCAGCACATCTTTCTCCTTGGATCCACTGACTGGACACATTTTTGTATTCTGGTGTTACTCTACCCAGTAGTTCAATTCTAGCATCAGAATTGCTGTGTATAAAAGGTACTGCACTCCTATGTTTATTGCTACACAATTGCAAAGATATGAAATCAACCTAAGTGCTCAACAACTGATCAGTGGATAATGAAAATGTGGGATATAAGTATATCATGGAGGCATATTAAATTATATAAAAGAGTGAAATAATGTTTTTTGCAACAACTTAGATGGAATTGGATACCATTTTTGTAAGTGACATATTGCAGGAACACAAAATCAAATACACATATTCTAACTTATAAGTGGGAGCTAAGCTAAAGGTCTACAAAGCATTTAGAAAGGTATAATGGACATTGGAAACTCAGAAGAGGGAGGGTGGAAAGGGGAAAAGATGAAAAAATCACCTATCAGGATCAATGTGCACTAGTGGGGAAGAAGGGTACACTTAAAGTCCACACTTCTTCACCACTATACAGTGCATCCATGTAACCCAAAACCATTTGTACCACCAAAGCTATTGAAAGAAAAAAAAATGCTGTGTGGGAGGAAGTGAGTGTAGACAGGGAGTAAATTGATGACCATGGTTCCATAGAGTAAATGCTTGGACTCCACAGCAGTATGTTTTTTTTTTTGAGTACTAGTCTCACTTTGTTGCCCAGGTTGGAATGCAGTGGCACGTTCCCAGCTACAGCAGCATTGACCTGCTGGGCTCAAGTGATCCTTCTGCCTCAGTCTTCCAAGTACCTGGAACCACAGGCACCACCACGCCCAGCTTATTTATTTATTTATTTATTTATTTATTTATTTATTTATTTT